TCATCCCCTGGCTTCTCCCCCGGGCAGGTCTACTCTGGCTCGAACTAAAATGAACTGCACGCTACCAAGGAAAGCACCTCCTTTTATTGACGGCGGTTGCCGTTACTACAGGCGATTATGCAAATATTTAACATCCTTCCACCTAAGGGAAAAAAAAAAGTGAACTTTCACAACAAAGTAAAACAATGCCAAAGAGCCTTAATATGCCAGTCTGTCTGGCGGAGTTACAGTTCTACCAGATCGTGTTACAGGTCTCACAGATTTATCATCTACGTTGAGTTTAAGTTCAGACAACGAATCTTGTTTTTCATTCTGCAGCTTCACGGGTACATCATTTTGCGTTACCTCTAAAGGATACAGAGTTCGAACTGCTCTAAGCAAAATTCCATTTCGGGTCTTTACTCTTGCAAGCCGATTTATTCCATCAGGTCCTGGAAGTAGTTCTATGACACGACCAAGTTGCCAAAAAAGTCTTTTGTCACTACTACCGATCAAAACAATATCATCTAATTTAATAGTAACTTTCCTTTCAGCTCTTTTATGCGAAACCTTGAGAATTCCCAAATATTCTTTACGAAATATTTTTAAATGCTTCTCGTACAGTTTGAATATACTGAAATCTTCTTTGTAGGTTTCTTTTACTTTTAATTTCGGTGTTAACTTCTTCGTCCCATTTTACTTTTGTTATGTACGCTGTAATAACATCTTAGGTAATATAAGGACTGGACATGTTATATACCGATGGGATCAAATACTTTATGGGCTATTGCCAAAATACTTCTTTTCGTAACTTTCTCGAAACAAAGATTTTGTAAATTAGCAACATTTATTTGAAGAGTATCGCCTTGTCTTTCCCATAACAAACCTAATACATTCGCAATAGTTTTCTGTTTCTAAACTACAGTCGGTATATTCCCAACCCCGTAATTCAAATTTTCGTTCTGCCATAACATCTGAAGATACTTTCATGAAGCGCTGTAATTCATCTTCACTTCCGACACTTGTTACACAGTTATCAACATAGAAACTATTCATTAATTTAACAATAATGTTGGAAGGATATTTTACATCTGCATCATTTTTCTCTAAAAATTGAATTTAAGTGATATTGAATAACAGCTCCAAGTAAAAATGGACTACTGTTTACACCAAATACGACTCGACAATGACGAAAATGCTTCAAGCCATCTTCACCCTTTATCCAAAGAAATCGGAGGAAGTTTCTGTCACTAGAATTCAGGCCAATTTGTAGAAAGGCCTTACGAATATCAGAAATCACCCCTATTTTTTCTTGGCGAAATCTATTTAAGATTGTAGGAATAAATGCAAATAAGGTTTAATCCTTTTTCAAGACAATCGTTGAGACTCGGAGAACCCTTTGCTTTAGACGAAGCGTCAAATACTGGCCGTAACTTCGTAGTACTATGTTCCTTAACAACATGTCTATGTGGCAAATAATGATGGGGTAAATCTAATTCATTTACGGGTACTTCCTCTATTATGCCCTCTTTGAGCCATTCTTGGAATATATTTTCATACTCTTGGCGAAGATTATCTATTTCAAGTTGCCTAATCGTACCGTGCAACCTTTTAAGCGATAACTCAAAATTATCCGACAGGGGAGGGTGCCCTTCCAACCAAGGCAAAGACACTACAAAGCGGTCATCTTCTATTTTTACAGTATCAAGAAAATGTTGCCTGGTAGCCTCATACAATTCCAATTTAGTCTTTTGTTCGGATGGGTCCGTAATACCAAGCGAGTCGAGGGCCCATAAATCAGAAATACAAGCCTCTTTATTCAACATTGAAGTAACTAAGAATGTTGAACCTTCACTATTCAACTCCCCGGTTTTTCCCATAACCGTCCATCCTAACTTTGTCTCAATAGCTACAAGACCGTTTGAAATTTGTTTACGATTCCCCGTTAATAATCGTCCTGCAACATCGGCTCCTATTAAAATTTCTATAGGTCCTTCTAAACGATCTGTTAAACTTATTCCACAGTCAGCAAGCTCTTTAAGCCATATTCCTTGTCCAATAGAAGGTATACTATTACAAATAACAGGCTGACTTAACGCATCAAAATTACAACTGTACGAGCCAGACATATTAGATAAATGAATTTTGTAAACTTTATGTTCACACAAACTGGTCGTTGTACCGCCAAATAATGCGTGGCTAAGGTATTCCTTTACCGTATACCTATAACCCATATCTTGAGCTGCGCTTTGCAGAATATATGACCTTTGAGAACCAGTATCAATTATAGCTCGAGCCGAACGAGATTTTTTATCTCCTTTAATTATTACTCTTATTGTTTGCAGCAAAACTTTAGGAGACCTTGAAGAAATGTTGGCGAGTGTTTCAGCCTGATTTGGAGGCTGTTCCGTTGCCCTTGTCTCACTCATTTGTGAATGGCCCTTACATAGAAAAATATGATGCCTTTTGCCGCATGTAAAACAAACTGTTTTTAATCTACACCTCCTGACAGAATGTCCAGATTTCAGACACAGATAACAAGAGCGTGTCCTTTGGACCAAAACTTCTCTTTCCGACAACGATAAGTTACGCGCCTGAAAACATTCCGCAGAACCATGATTTATACTGGAACAAAATATGCAGCCTTTTCTAGCTTCATTAGAAGAAGTAAACAGTTCAGCTGCCGTAGGTTTTAAGTGAGGTTCTCTTATCTTTAAACCCGAATTCCCTTTCTTATTACCGTGAGCCAATCGATCGAAAACATTGAAAGATTTAGCTGCTAAAGAAATTCTTTCCTCACTTTCAACTTCACCGCGCAAGAAACATAAAAGGCGCTCAAGGTCAGATTCCCTTTCTCTTAACTCGGCGTTTTCGCCGGTTAAACTTTCTGATCCTTTACGCGAAAACCTAAGTCTCTCCCACGTTTTTTTTAAGACTTCATTCGGCAATGCTGATTCTACCAATGGATATAATATCGCGCAATATTTGCCTCTATTTATTCCCAATATCTCCAAGGCTCTTAGATTAGATTCGAGTTCATCGTATAGTTTCCGCAAAGAGTGTGTACCTTGTTTTTGAATAACAAGGGTTAGCAAATCACGAATATAAATCTCCGTTAGTAATTCTTTGTTACCAAAACGCGTCTGCAATGCTTCGATTGCGCTCTTGTAACTATCGCCAGTTGGCGGAAAGCTTTTAACTATTTCCTCTGCAGGAGAATTCTTCTCCATAGCCTGTGCTAAATAAGCAAATTTATCATTATTATCTAATGTAGGATCTTTATCAATCTTTTGGAATTGCCCCCAAAATCCTAGCCATTTCTTCACGTTGCCGTCAAAGATAGGCAATTTAATCTTCGGATAATGTAACATTTTATTCTGAACAAAGGACGGATCAATTAAAGTTACATTCGGGGTTCCAGAAGTAAGATCTTTTACTTTACTTTCCAGAAGTCTCCACCTATCAAAATATAATTCAGATTCATCTATTTCCTTAATAAGTAAAGTCTCATCTGTAATTTCTTTAAACATTAATTCTCGTATTTTCATTTCAGTATCAAACAAAACTTTAGCTTTCTCGGCAATAACTTTTATTTTAATTAATTTTTCTTCCTGATTAAATTTAGTTTCTTCATTGTCAAATTCATTACAAGCTTTACTGAATAGTCTTCTATATTGAGTTCGTTGCTAACTTTTAAAGCTTCCATGATTCAAAAATAAAAAAGTCGCTTACCTTGCAGACAATATCCTGTCGCTTGATGCCAAATGTTGATTTTTCCGATAATATCCTATGTGATATATCTGACTTCGAATCTAAAATTTTCTGAAGAACACAAAAAACCTTGTCTAAAACTTAAAGGTTTATTTAACTGGAACTTCAACACTGATGAAAACTTAACATCACAAACGAAAACTTAACATCTTGGGTGGAAAACATTCAAAGTGCTTTAAAGTAACAGCTATGCCGGCACGGTGAAGAACACTTTCCTTTAAAAGACAGAATCCATCTAGCCCTTTCGGCGTATATCTCCATTCGCTGGAATTCAGACATCCGCTCCTACGTGTTTTGGACTTAAACGGCCAGGACTGGAACTGGAATAGGACTGGATCAGGACCGGAACAGGACTGGGAACCGGAAACAGACGGGAACCGGAACCGGAATCTCATCCCCTGGCTTCTCCCCGGGCAGGTCTATTCTGGCTCGAACTAAAAGGAACTGCGGTGCCACTAAGGAAAGCACCTCCTTTTATTGCCGGCGGTTGCCGTTACTACAGGCGATTATGCAAATATTTAACACTTCATTAAACAATTCCTTTAATATTTCTAATTCTATTTTTTAAATACTTTTACATGCGGGTTAACCATGTTTTGTATTTTTTCTAATGAACTCTCGCCGGTTTTTGTGACAAGTTTGTGACATTATTCCTCTGCCGTCTGTCTAGAGTTCACATTTTATGTTACTAAAGAAGGTTAGACTCTACAATGATACACTAAAAAGGTCTAAAGTTCTTTGAAAGTGGAGTTTTGAAGCTGAGAAATGGTTATTGATTAAAACGATTCTGATTAAGATTACTTAAAAAAAATGGAAGCCAATTTAATAAGGAAATCTAAATAATTTAATATTTTCAAGCTGTTCTTCTTTCTTAGAAAACTGCAATGTTATATAATATTATTCTCTAAACATTTTTTTTAATTTAAGAGTTTTAAAAGGTTATAAGTTATAGATAAAAGTTTACGTTTAAATGAAATTTATTCGAAAACTTACAGAGTTTTTATAAAGCATCTTTTATTTTACCTGTGTAAATACGTTTCTAGCCATAAGGATTTTTATGTTTTATATTTTACCTGTACAAATACGTTTCTAGCTATAAGGGCTTTTATGCCTTATATTTTACCTGTGTAAATATGTTTCTGGTCATAAGGATTTTTATATCATAATTTTATTTTAGGATATCGCAGATTTTGAGAATGTTTTGTTTGCTTTTTTACAGTTACCAGTCTGCTAGATGAATTCTTCTGGAAATAGCACCGCCTCTTAGAAGACATATCCACTACTAGACGCATAAACTGTGGAATACAGAAAAACATCATAATTCAGCAAATTTAAAGCCCACGCACTGGGGCCTTTGAAAGATCTCCATCAATAGGTGCTTGCAAGAACGGTGGAAGACGCCGACCGTGTTGAATGAGACCGTTGAGAAACAACTTCCTTTCATGTCACTTAAACAGAATTCGCCCCTGAATACGTCGTCAATAAATCATCGTTTTGAAGTGTAAGCTTCTCTGGGGAACGCTTTTTTTTTTTTTTTCAAATACATTTTGGCAACGCTGGTGAAACGGAACAATTAAAAAGAACAATGAAAAACAGCGAAAGAATGCTATGTGAATGTTAGTCCTGGTAATATTCTGAGTGTTTATCTAGATATGATCTCCACGTTTTGAGTGTGTTTGATACTTTAGGAATAGTGTTTCTTTGATTTCGCTTGTTTTTAGAACTTTTAAATGAACCTGGATGAATTGTGAACGTGTGTTTTTAGAGTCGTAAAAAATGCATTTTTATTTTTGAGTTTAGCTGGATTTATTTGAAACTTGAAAATATCGAAGTCAATTGCTATTCACAGTAAGGCTTCAGGGATAAAAAAGCTCTAGAATAGTCTAGATAAGTCTTCTTCACTTGTTCAAAGTCAGTGATTTCTTTCCTATATTCTTAAGTGCAAAGTAATAAATAAAAAAATATTGGCATTTTTCAAGTTAAGTAAGAAAAATTTTATATACGTTCATATTTTTAATGAAATAAAGTTTTTATTTTTATTTAAGTAATTTTATTTTTCGAATTTTATAAAAAAAAGTTTTAAGGAGTTAAAGAATTTAACATACAAAGGATATACTAGAATAAATTCAATTCGTTACTCAGACATGTCATTATTATTTTCTTTACAATTGATGCTGTTGTTATTTTCGTTAACTTGCAAGACAAGTGGTCAAAAATTATAACATATTTATAATTCATTGATCTGGAAAGCAGCATTAAACGTTAAGTAAATCCTAGCACAAAAGCTTTATTACATTCTCTGAAAATTAGAAGATTTGGATATTATTTCTAAAATATGGAAACATCAATAAATGTATATTTTTTCAAAATTGAACTAAGTTTATAAATTCAGAAATGTATGCTTAATATATCTTTCATACGTTAGCTACGATATTCAAACCTTGACTCAGAATCTATTTCAGTTTGAAGTCACATGTTCGTATCTGTCTGACGTAAATTGTTAAATATTTGTTATGAAAATTGTCTATTGTTACTTAGAATTCCATCTAAGAACGTACAGGATCAAGTGTACTTTTACAAATAAACTACGCTTTGTTAACATGACACTTCATCCCCATAAAACCCTGTACGTTTTTGAGACTATAGATGTGATAATTTAAGTAACGTGAAACAACAATGGAGCATTCTTCAATGACTGCTAATATCAGTGATGCAGTCTACTTCACGACGGATGATGAGAACCTCACTAACGGTTCAGAAGTACTGGACTTCCATTTGCCTGGTGGCAACAGCTCTTGGGTGAGTGTTGAACCCGTTCCCAAAGCTGTGGAAGCTCTCATGTATATTATGTACATAGTCATTTCAGTGGCAGCCATTGGTGGGAACGTCATTGTGTGTTACATTGTATTCGCCTACCAAAGGATGCGCTCTGTCACGAACTTTTTCATTGTCAACTTAGCCGTCGGTGATATTCTGATGGCCTGCTTGTGCATACCATTCGGATTTGTGTCAAACTTACTGCTCCAGTATTGGCCTTTCGGGGCTATCATGTGTGTTGTCGTCAGTTACGCCCAAGCGGTGTCCGTCTTCATCAGTGCTTATACCCTAGTGGCCATCAGCTTCGACCGCTACATTGCCATCTTGTACCCTCTGCGACCCAGGATGACGAAATTCCAAGCAAAGCTCATCATTGCACTAGTGTGGCTGGTGGCACTGTTGACTCCTTTGCCGACAGCCATCATGTCCAAGCTGGATCAGCCTCAAGAGTGGATTGATCTTAACCTGACCGATCGCTACACATGCACGGAAGCATGGGAGTCACCTACTCAGCGCTATTACTACAGCATGGCCCTGATGGTGTTGCAGTACTTTTTCCCGTTGGCGGTCCTTATTTACACATATACCAGAATCGCCGTGGTGGTCTGGGGCAAGAGAACACCAGGAGAAGCGCAAGACGCCAGAGACCAGAGGATGGCTGCGTCGAAACGTAAAGTAAGTACACTTTTATATCGCTTTTGTTCATTTTAGTATGACAGTTATTTTAAATTCTGTTAACAAATTAAGCTTTATTTTACAAACTGTCTTAATCTTTCTTGCCTTTCACCAAAATGATTTTCTCAATTCAGATACTCGTGCAAATTTAAGTTTCAGGTAAGCGAAGTAAAATACTGGAAGTAACTTCTTAACTTCCAGTTCTTAACGTAACTTCCCTAACAGTATTATTTTCAAACTTCCCAAATCATGCTAACTTGTAACTTCTGTAAAAGATTATATAAATAAATTTTATCTAATAGTATATTAAGAGTAAAACAAATTAGTAAACAGCGAATCGGGTCAAGAACAGCATTTCCCGAAATCTCATTAGATTAGTTCTCTATATACAAAAGAAACTCTCGAGATTCTGTTCTTGAAAGTTTTTGCTCATGATGTTTCATGTATTCTGAGTCTTCAGAAATGTTCTTAGAAAACTCGAAATTCTAAAAGAAATTAATTATTCTTATTTAACAAATCGTGATTCTGAAATCTGGAAACTGTTGATTTTACATAGATAAATTTGATTTAATTTGGGGCAAATTCTGAAATAAATATTATTCCGCTTTCTAAACAATTTTGCTTGATTATCAAACTAATTATCGCAGTCTTTTCGTCTTCATGCTATCATTTAGAACAAAACCTAATCACTCGAATTGAGATTTGTCGCATCTTTTCGTGAATTATAGACATTTAGCAATTTTTTAAATACTATTCGAATCCTCAGTTAATAAGTAGTTGTTAATAACGATGAACTTTAAACCAAAAGACTAAACCATCTATATTTAGTATCCCTGGTTTTTTAAATGATGCTGAGATTGGACTGATAAAATAAACAGAAATTTAAATTAATTGGAATGTAAATATTTGCCATTGGACAGATCAAAAGACCCTGAAAAATTTAATGACATCGTGCGTCCTTCATGGATTCGATGATTAGGAAGAATATTTTTCCTTCTTTCAGAGGCAATGAATTTCACTTTTTTATTAATTTTATACTATTCGTTGATAAAAAATTATAAAATAAAATATTTATTAAAAAACGAAAATCTGAAAGCTTTCAGATTTTTTATGACACCCAAAAGGACATTTTTTAGCCTTTTGTGTGTTACCTTTATTTAATAAACATCACGTTCTTCGCACTTAAATCCCATAAAATTCAATTCTACAGCAATATCACAAAATATTTAAAAACAGCATAACGCGATTTTAGTTAACATTAGCTAAAAATTTCTTTTAATTTTTAACTATCCAAATGTTTTTGAGCGTATGCTTTTAAAAATAAAATCATGTGAGCATATAAAACCATTATACTACTTTGAGTTGGCAGTCTTTCCAAGATCCACGTGTTCATTAGTGGCATGCCTGAATGCGTGGAGAGCTAGGAATGAGGCAATCAGTATACGATGGGCTGTCGTCCGATGCTGGTCCGGTGCATTTGCGCAATGCTCCCGTAGAAATCTTCATTCGAACAGATTTAGCGAGTACTGCGGTAGAACCATTACGTTCTAAAGAACTGTGAATAAGCGTTGGAAACAATTTGGTCCCAATAATCAGAAGTACAGATGCACTCCGATCGGTAATCCGACGGATTTTTTCAAATTATTTGATTTTATGCTTTGGCGATTTGTCTTTGCCATCCCGCTTCCCAGATATGACAGCACCAGACTACTTCCTTTGGTATTATCTGATGGGAGAGTCTTTGTACATTATTTGCAGTCGATTGACGAATTGAAAACTGCTATTTGCCATTAGCCGTGAAGTACTTGCTATTCCACTGGATATATTCAGACAAGTCAAGGAGGTCTTCTTCCATTCTATCGAACAGTGCATCAAATCAGAAAAAATTATTTTCAAGATGTCAGTATTTTACGTATGCCACTGCGTTGAATATCTTTGTATATAGCAGTACTTCACAACCCCATATAATTATTACAAGTACTCGTCGTCTTTCTGTTACGATTTAAATTTCATGGGTACGAAATGCGCGACTCCTAATATTTGAAGGCTAACAAATTTCAAAGGATAAACAAATAGTGAAGGAACGGGATATATACTGAATGTTTGAATTCAATTCTCCTACATTTCTCTTTCAAAATCTTCATTTAAAATATATCATTGTTAGTAGCTTCGCCTTCTTTTTAATTAACTATATTGAGATAGTTAACAAATAATTTTTTAAATTTTAGTTCATTTAAATAAAACCCTACATTACATGCGTACGGGTTCGTACATAATTGAATACGCACAGAACCGATGATAGCTTTATGAAATTTATTCTATAAAAAAGACACTACAGTGCAAGAACTCTTGACAAAAACTTCTTGCACTGCTCATCTCTACACAGTAATCTATCAATACGTTGACTTAAACCGAAAATTGACATTCGTTCCGGTCTTATAGAGATTTAACACCTCCGGCGAGAAATTTCTAATACGTTCGATTTTCCGAAACTCCTGGAAAGCATGCACACATAAGGCCGGATACAGTTATAGTTACATACGGATCGCAGCGATTACAGTTACGCAAATCTCAAACGAAATAGTTGCCAGGCTTGAGGACATTGAGTATTTATCGACTAACAAACATAAGTGGTCGAAAACATCGCCAACTTGTCGATATCATGCCATTTGGCTATATAGCCATTTACCTCAATGCTAAATGGGCTTAACCCTGCGCACCTATTTTTCCGCAATATTTCACATTCTGAGGACTTTCGTGTTACATTATACAAGAGATACTACAATTTACATATAATTTCGCTAAAATTATTTAGGCCAAACATAGAAATAAAGGAACACTAAATGAATAAATAAATGAATTTCCAAATTTATTATACAATCAAAGTCTTAGTATACTATTTTTCTACATTATATACACTATGGGGATTACGTAGCTAGCCTCTTTTAATAAACAATTTTAGGCTTAGAATTTGATGACTTAAGGATCCGAACTGTGAAGTCGATCAGCCTGTCTAGGACTGTTAAGGACAGACCTTTGTGATTGTGATTTATATGAAGTCCTTTTCTTCGAAAAAATCACACCTTGTCTCTACGTTGAGTCGATATTCTGTGGCTCTGCTGTCGCATCGGTCATCATTTTCTCCATTACCAAGTTGGCTCACTTCCGTGCAAAACTGTACATCACCTTCAAACAATGCCTGGACATCTTAAATGCACTCTTCAGGCGATGGAGGCATATCCAGAAGTCAATGAAACAGCGAATCACAAAACAGACGCAGGTCACGAACTGAAGAGCATCTGGGATGAGAAACAGCCGGTAGTCTCGTGGACACCACTGCTATAAGCCAGTAAGAACAGATATAACTTCTGGTTCCAGTCCTATTGGTTTCTGGAAATGATCAGCGAGAGGTTATTCAGGATATTTCTATTGAACCACTGTACCATGCTATCTGACTGCGTATGTAAAGGGGTCGTTAAGGTTTTATCTATGCCGAGTAGTTCGTACTATAAAATATTATAATAACTGTCAAGAATTGCAAGATATCTTAGTTCAAAAAACACTAATTCGAATCACACATAACATCAAGATACATGATCACTACAAATCAGGTTTCTAAACTGCCAAGTTTATTCAAGTCTAACACACATTCAACTGGCGGATGCCAGATCCAAGAACCAAGAAGTATATATACATCATGAAAGATTTACGCCCTTTTTGGCGATTAAAATATATTTCTACATAAAATTTCTTACACACTGGGCCCGGCTGAACTGTAGTTCAGAACAATCAAGATTATCAGTGTTACATGAACATTTCAAGAATTATTTCCAAGAATCATTATGCATTTCAATACAAATTCAAGTTTTGTAATAAAGAAATGTCACATAAATATCAAGAACATGTAAAACTTACCATATGTTTCAAGAATATCAAGTAAATTTTCAAATAAATTTCATCAAGGATTATTGTTATAACATTCCTATTCAAGCATCAGGATTTAAATCAAGATAATATTAAACAAGTGATATCAAAATCAAGATTATCATAATTCAACTAAAATACTGGAATTATTACAAGAAACCTGTCTTTTTTTTTCAGAATTAAATTAAAATTTTTAAATACACTTATACATTTCTACAACCTTAAAAATTTCTAATATATACATTTCTTTAAATATTAAATATACAGTACTTTAAATAGCAATTAAATAAAATAGATTCAACATTAGTAGCATTACGATTACATTTTCAGTAAGAAATATACTATCATACAATATTAATACTCTTAGCACTCTAAATTTAGATAGAGGTAATGGTCGCATCGGTTGCGAGTTATAACGCTGACACAGTAAACAGTTTCTTATAACACGTTTCACATTTTTTCTGGATCCAATTATCCAGTACTTTTCACGGAGGAACATGAGAGTACTAGCTACACCTGTATGAAGAACTCGTTCGTATGCATCACTTACTAGAAGATCTGTAAAATGAGTTTTTGAAGGAATAATTATAGGATGCTTTTCATGAAAACTTAAAGTTGATTTTTGTAGTCTTCCTCCTACTAACAAAACTCTTTCCCCACGGGCTACATGATACACCGAAAGGAACGCAAGTCATTCTATAATGTTTCAAATTGTAATTATTATCAAAGTATAAAAACCGTAATACATCTCTACCAATTTCAGAGATTCCAATCTGGAGAAAAGCCTTTTCAATGTCCGCTGAGAACGCATGTTTGTATTGTCTGTATCGCAATATCAAGTCCAAACCAGAAGGATTCAAATTTGGGCCAGGCATCAAACAATTGGTTCAGAGATACCCCATTACACTCGAAGATGCGTCAACACGATACGGACTTTAGTTTTTTTGATACATTTTTTCTTACAACTGGAAAATGTGGCATGTAATACATTTTACTAATATCACAACTTTCAATTTCGCACTCTTCAATTATTTCATGTTTTAACTGTTCGTTTACTATGCTATCATAATTCGACC